ACTCCCGAGATAGCAGAACCGAAATTCTGCGTCCATATGCTATTGGCTCATAAGGAAAATAGGCTTCATGTGAATATCCCGAGAGCGTGGCTCGACCGTTTACGATTATTTACATGCTTGTTATTTATATTGTTCGATTTTTGACGTTGCGCAATATTTATACAACAATCATATTGCATCGCGCAACTTGCTTGATACAGAAAAAGCAAATTTGTGTACAGGTAGTCAAATTGCGCAATTTTCTCCTTGTTCTCTCTTATATTCACATATCGAGTAAAATCCTCTTAAATCTTGTGTTTGTTTGGCAATGTTTCGGTGAATTGATTCCTATAGACATTAGATTTCACATGAAGACTGATTCTGATGTCTGATGTGTTCTCTCTTCTCTGAACATGTGATGCATTGCTAAAATTTCCTCATTTTTGCTTTGACAGTTTGAATGAATAGCATTAACTCTGACGGCGTATGCATCTGTTTCTTTTTAATTTATAAGATCATGAATCGAGATCCTGAAGAATTTTTCTTGCTTTTTTTTTGCCCCAGCACCTCATCGATAAATGCTGTATTGGATTCTTGGCACTGTTCTTTGTCATAAAAATGGTTTCTACTTGTTTCAGGCATAACAATGCTGTGTAATGACGCGCTCAAAATAATCTTGCCAAATGTATGCATCCTATTCGTCGCTGGCATCATTTCAAAAGGCTAGACTTGATGCAAAAAGTACCTATATATGACTACTTTTGGAGAGCAGCCGGAACAAAGATGAGGCGCGACTATAGTGGCTTATGTTAACGGATTACAAATTGACGTTGAAGATCGATATGAAGTTACAGGTGTTTCTTTGTCATCCGATTGATAATTAAATACCAACAGGCTGATTTTGATGCTCTTCGAAGAAGAAATTCGTTGAAATTAGTTCCCAGAAACCGATCTGATTTGTCTTCTACTGTCAATCGTCACCTGGCACTTCGTTTAGAAAATCGAAGAAGGGGATGATGTCACGAAAGACCAGAGATTGATATTGGAATTAAAATGTGGTTATGGGTGTGTTTTAATGTCTATTCTTTATTCACACGCACACTCACGCTCACACTAGATAATATCACATAAACATAGAGAAAATCGAGAGATGTTTTTGAAGCAAGAGAAACAAGGTATCCAGACGCTATTGGCTAATTATTCAAGAGTTTGTCTATACAAATAAGATTTGACTCATCAACATCATCACGTTTTTCTGGAAATTATTATAGTTTTCGTCGACGTTGCTCGATACTATTCTTAATCACTTTACTGTTGAATGTTCGGATCCAAAAGCTTGCATGGCTATATCTAGAACTCGCTCATCATATTCGACAGCCTCTTTGTATTGCTGAAGACAATTGAATGTCTTTGCCATGTTGTAGTAGATGGTAGCTGAATATGGATGATTGGGTGAAATGGATTTTTGAAAATTTCAAGCACCATTTCATAGTGTAAGAGCGCAGCTGAATAATTTTCTGTTGACTTATTCATCAAACCAAGGTGATGGGAAGTAGTAGCCAGATCTGGATGATTGGATGAAAAAGATTTCTAACGGATTTCAAGTGTCTTTTCGTGATATGAGAGTGTAGTCGAGTAATCTTTCATCAATTTATGCACCTAACCAATGTTGGTGTAGATCAGGGTGTAGGTTGGTACTGGCTTTCTCTTCATTCACACCCATCCACACTCAATACACAGTTCTGTAGAGCGAAATTAAAGCTATCATTTGCAAAGAAAATAGTTCGAATTCCATTTAAATCATGAATGTTATAGTTCTTTTATTAAGCACGACTGAGCATGTTACATCTTACATTTTTTGGTCACAAACAAAAATATTCTTGAATTGTATGAGTGACTAAGGTTGAGGAAAACATTAATTTCTAGATTGTTTTACATGGTTCGATAGAGTTCAACAAACTCTACAACAATAGGAACATTAAAAAAAAACTTCTGAGCCTATTTTCAATACAAACCAAGAAGAAAGTCTGACAGACTAGTAACAACCTACCATACGCTGTATGAGAGAGTCTGTTTAACTTTCAATAAAATTAGCTGGTCAATTGATAATTAATGTTTCGAGATCTAAAGCGATATACTGAAGCTGAAAATTGCCTTTCTGGGTTACATGAATAGACGGAATAGTAGATCAGCTAAAATGATTAAAAGTTCGCCTTATTCTGTTTGATGCTGGACACATGAAATTTTTATTAGTCTTTATTGTTTCCTTCACGTCTTCATTGAAAACAACATGAGAACTATTTTGATATTCATTTTTTTGTGTAGAGCTTGTTTAATTCTATCGAACCACATAAAAATTGTTCGAAAAAAATATTTCGGTTCAAATGTTACAAGCATATATTATTTTTGCAAAAAAAATATGGTCAGTATTGCTTAGTCATGCTTAATGAAGGAACTATAACATTTCGTGATTCAAATGGAATTCGAATTATTTTCTTTGCAGGTGATAGCTTTAAACTCGTTCTACAAAACTGTGTATTTCAGTCAACTATCTAATATGTATTTTTATAAATAATGGAAATTTATGGAAAGGGTTGACACTTTTGGAACACAATTTGGTTTAGTCTTAATTGTGAAAGTTTAAGTTCACTCACAATGTTACACAGGTATTTTTGATAATAGCTGGTGCTTATCAACTAAATGTATTACTTTTTAATACCATGAAACAGTACTGATATAATTAATTAGGAAGTGATTTAAAAGCATTAATCTTTGTTAGATAAGACTATGTTTTTTTTAGTTCGCCAAGTTTTAATTTTCTAATTGATGGAAGAGTTTGTAATTTTATTTGAGACTAGCGCGAGGCAATAAGAAAGGTATCGGAGGAATATGATGCAATTCTTTCTGTTAATATATTACAAGAAAATCAATAAACAAAATCTGTCTTATCATCGGTCTGCAGATCAAATCGTCCAAAACTTTAAATTCAATCATTACTTTCACTATTGCTCTGGAATCTTTAAGAATCAAATTTGAGGATGAAAGATAGAAACTATTATATTTCCAATTCTTGAATAGTTCGCCTAATTTCAAATTGATTATTTTTTCTTTTCTACTTCTATCTTTCCTTCGTTACATTGGTTTGTAGTTTAGATATTCTTCCTAGTTAGGGTCTATGTTTGCTCCATATTCTTAACTTGTTTTATTTTGTTTTTTTTTCTAATTGAACATTTTCAGCTTGTACTAATAAATAATAATATTTTAATATTATATTATTTGTTTTGATTTCGTTCAATGGAATTTAAATCATTACTGATACATTTTTTATTTGACAATTACGACCACAGTACATTGAAATTATTTTCAAAGAATGACTTGTTATATATTATATATGCATCAAGAAATCGGACGCCTTCTTAAGAATTCGCGCAAAAATATAAAATACAATCGTAGTCTATATATACATATCAGAAGGAGAGTTTCACAAGATAAGCAAGAAGAAAAGGTGGAGTGTGGGGTGTGTTTTGTCTTTATCCACATCTAGTGTACTGCATGATCGTGACCATGATTGAAAAAAAAAAGTTTTGTGATCACAATCATAATATGTATATTCAAAATCTTGATTATTTGTTCAAAAAGTTAATGTTTCACATTCAAATCAGAAAAAAGTCTGATAGTTCATATAAAGCTTATAACAAAAAACATGAGTTGACTTAATTGAAATCAACGTATAGATATTTTCGTAGTTTAGTTTGGTCTTGTATACGAAATTGATGAACTCTTTTCTTCAATTAATCGTTCAATATCCTTTTTATTAGACTTAACAATGTCAATGAGATACAGTCTAAAAAGTCAACATAAGTCAGTTCTTTTACAACTTTAAAGCTTATTCGACAATAAAGCAAAATGAAAACAAGGAATGCTCAATGTAACTCCCTATTCTTTTCTACTAAAACCAATTCAACCCGTGAACTATGTTATAAAGATGATACGACCGAAGGGTAAAAAGAATTTTTATGCTTCTAAATACAATGTAACATTCGTGATTGTGATCGTGATAAAAAATATCAATCACACAGGACACTATTCACACTCTCTTTATCAATAGACTTCGAGACTCACCTCAATCACGTTTGATCATTCTATCACCGCGAAGGATTCTTCACAATCTTCATTGCAGTCGATTGATTCATCGAATTTTTGAATGATTTTTTTCACTTTGACTAAGGACTAGATCTTTGTTCAAATGTCTCTTCATTGAATCGGTGTGGATGTGGCAAGAAAGAAGCTCATACCCACACCCAGACCGAAAGATACGGTCCGCATACGGTCGTATACAGTGCCGTATTGTTATGCCCAACATTACGAGTAAATATTGTCCATTTGCATGCTATTTCAGATTATAAATGGCAGTATTTGGCGAAATTATGGTGAAAATACAGATAGCCGTATTGATTGACCTGGATAAAACTCAGGCCTAGTTCGACGTATTTAACTGAAACTTTTATTAAGCACATTTTCCGCTAGAACCACTAGTCTCTGAAAGTTTGAGCCGGAATGGACCTCTTTAGGCGGGAAATCAGCTTTAATGCGAAGGGCGATGGCAACTAAATCACAATTGATCATATTTTACTTATATTGTAATAGAAATATATTCAATATTCCTTAAATATCTTATTCAATAATATGAGAAAATGTTCATCAAGCAGTTTTAAACTATCTTAAATAAGGCCAGTTTAGCTGAAAGTAATCAAATGTATGATCATTTCACAAATATAGATTCTGTCCAACAACTTTGTTCTATTGAATTTTACAACAAACTGAAGGGCTAACCTTGGTAATGATTTTTATTCTAGAACTTTATATCCATGGTTCTACCTATCTAGAAGAAAAAAATACATTTTAAAAGGTTTAAAAATGAAAGAGGTAATAGAGGACAATAGTGTGGCAGATACTCGTGTCCTTCTAAAACTACGCATAGAGAGAATGTTACGAGAGTATTAAAGTATTTTGTTGAAAGATCAGTCAAACTTCACAAAAACAGCGACTTCTTTTGGTGTAATTGTCATCTTTTGGCAATAGCCACCATTGTTTCCTGGTGCATCAACAAAAGTGACGAATAACATAAAACAAGTTATGATTAATTTTAATTCTAAACGTGCTAATTCTTGTCCAGCACAAATACGATGTCCACCACCAAAGGGCGCAAACGCAAATGGATGATGATTTGCATCGGGCGCATCAATACCAAAGAATCTCTCAGGAATGAATCGTTTAGGATCTAATTTCCAATATCTTGAGTCACTTTGCATCAAAGAAAATGCTGATACAACTGTTTCTCCTTTACGAATATTCGCTCCATCAATAGTAACATCTTCAGTGACGGTTCGAAACGAACCGAGGGCAAGTGGTGCTATTCTTAATGTTTCTTTGATGACACAATCAATATATTCACATGTGTCAAGGAGATTGAAATCATCTAATAATGTATCTTTTGTAATATTATGTTGTTTCAATTCATCTTTCATTTTTTTTTGGACTTGAGGATTTTTACTCATATAATACATAAACCAAGATAGGACAGTTGCTGTCGTATCAAAACCACCAAGAATCAATCCTAATACTTCGTCTAATAATTCTTTTTTTGTAATGCCTCGTTTTTCACTTTCACTTTTCGTTCTCTCCAATACTTCATCTTTTTGCAATGATGATACTAATGATGCGACAAGATTGGTAGGCCTATCATTTGGATTCATTTCCATTTGACATTTTGAAATAATTTTTTCCGCTTGATCTTCAAGCTTTTTCAATGCACTTTGATATTTTCGATCGAATTTCAATAGATAATAATTAACGATATATGGCATACCATTCATATAGACACGTTTCAATGCATCGAGCCAAGTCGATAAAGCTAGACCAAAATCGGATGGTTGATATTTTTCGTCTGGATTGAATTGTGTTGCTACTTTAGCTAAATACTTTAAATTGCCCAAATCATAATCAAATGTTAAAAGTGTGAACGTATCTAACATCAAATGTTGATTATCATTTATTAGACACGTACATATAATATCGTCTTTGTTTTCGTATCGAAGTTTCCAAACATGAATTAATTGATCGACACAATCAATGATAATCGGTATTTGTGATACGAATTTATTTCTTTTTAACATAGGTAAAATCGCTTTAGCATGTCGTTTGTATTTTGGGCCTATGAGTGAAATAATGAAATTTTCTGATATTAATCGAAATGTTCTTAAGCGTATTTCAGCGCGATCAAATCGATAACGATCTCCATAAATTTGTTCAGCATGCTCAGGTCGACAGAATACATACAAATGATTTGAGCCCATCCAAAATTGGAATATATCTCCAAATTTTCTTTGAAGTTTATTACAACCATGAACATAGGTATCAATTAGTTCTTTATTTGGTCCAATAATACCAAGTTGACGAAGATTACCAAATAAGAATTCGGGTTTGAGACCAGGAATTGAACCACGTAGTGCATAACATTTCCATTTACTGTAAAAATAGATTACAATGATTAATATTGTGATCGACGAAATTAAGATAGTCCAAAACATTTCTGAAGTATATAAGTTATTCGAATATGAATGTTAGAATCTCATCGATCAAAAAATTCACTTGAATCAAAAGTTTTAAAAAAAATGACACTATATATCTTGAAGCAAAGTGAAACTATCGCAACTTGTTATTTTCCTTATTTATGTTTTTTTTTTCGTAGCATTCTGTACTGAACTAGTATCATTGTAGATCGTGAAAAACTCAGAGCAGTTTCTTCTTTGATTTTTTTGCTCAAGTTAGCAATTGCTAAAGTAAGAATCAAGAACCAATCAGGTCGCATGACCAAAAAATCGTGAAAACCAGCATCGTATTGATTTGTCTGAAGAAGTAGATGATCTATACGTGGGTGTTTCTAGCGTTCACATGGCACAAAGATTTTGAGTCTGACATTGTTAATGTCTAGCATCCTAATAGGTATTCAGCTTCTACCACTCATAAGTCACTAAATAGCTTCTAATGTAGTAGCTATTAATGGATAAGTAGTTTAGTTCTCAATAACTTATGATTTTCTGATTCACTTGTACATATAAGTTGCTATAAGATAAGTCGATGAGAAGCGTCGGAAGTTTTTATTTAAAAAGTTTTCTTCACTCTTTTAACAGGTAGTTAACTAGTGCTTGGGCAAAAGACATATTTGGAAGAAAAAAAATTCTATTAGTATTTAATATGGATTTCTGTAGCTTCTGAGAATAATGCAGCAATGATGTAGTTTGGATATATCAATATTGTTAGTTCAGTTAAATTTCAATATATAAATGAATCTTTCGGAGATTGAAATTGTTCAATGCTTCACTACTTATGGGTAAAAAATGATCTCAAACATTTCTAATAAAAAGTATGATACCCTATTTCGATATTTTTAACAAACAACTGAAATATCCTGATTTTTAGATACCAGTGAGGTCTTTTTTTTTAAACATGTTCTTCATTCGATTGCTGCCTGATCAGAAGTTAGAAGTACACTAAGAAACTTTCTATCCAAAAATGTAGTACGCTTTCCGATGGATTTATCTTTTACTTAGATCACTGAACAGAAAAGTAAAGTAAACGTATCGTTCCTAATAGAAAGTTTCTATTAACTCTAATTTGACTTCTAAGATTTGTACTACCAATAAAAATGTAATAGTTAACTGGTTTTGTATCTAATGAGATGTTTGCATCGATCTCTTATTTGTTTATGCGTTGGTATCTCATCGTTTTCGTCGAATAAAAGTGGATTAGTTCAATCTCAATTGACTGCTACACAACAGGCTAACCTCTGATAAATATACTATTTCAAAGCGCATTATGATATAAGTAGCAATACTGCTATTCTTACTGCTCTTTACAACAACGATTAATTACATTTTCACATATATGTAAATAAACGTTTGGACCACTGATGCGTGAATACAGGCTTTTGCCTTCAGCATACTATCTCTTTTCATGTGGATGATGTAAAAATACACATTCGATGAAAGCGAGAGAAAATTACCTTCATTAGATTCATGAAGGCTTCATAATTTTAAGAATTGATGGAATGAATATCGTCTAGTTCACTTTTTTCAAGTCGGTTTATTCATAAGTAACAGGAACTAAATTGATTTGGCATTTCGATGGAAGCAAATACGAAATATTTTCAGACAAATTTTTTATTATATTGTCAGTGACTCTATATTTCACACATTTATTTCGAATAACAAATGACTAACATAAATACAAAACACCATATAATACAATGATTCACAGTCGAGTATACATGATTGTTTGCCTGCCATTTTACGCATGTGTTTTGAAGCACGACATAGTATTTTATTGCTTATGATTTGATATTTGAAGATAGATTTCTGTATCCTCTGAGAATTGCACCATTTGAATTGAAAAAATCGTTAAAAAGAAATATTACTGAATACAATGCTCAAAGTTTTCTCAGTTAATTTTATTTCATGCTTATTTGACTTCAAATATATATATATATAAGGATGTTATTCTCATTTAATTATGATCAAATATGTAAATCACGAAAAAACTAACTAGGACCATATGCAGTATTGAAGTTGCAACTTTATCTATCGATGTGTATAAACAGAACACGAAAAAAAAACAACATTTTATTTTCTATATGCATATCGACCTCATATAAACAGAATATATTAAAGATGAGTATCGTATAGGAACGATCAATATCGATGACATAAACAACTATTAGGTTTGAGAATATGTATGAAATAGAAAGATAATCCTCAGCTATTGAAGTGAACTCAGGATAAATGAAAGAACTCTTTAATATAGAGAGATGAAGAGAAACGAAAAGGAAATTTTCATCAATGATAAATAAAAAGAAAATTTTGAATTAATACGTAATAAAAAAATATAGTATGAAATTGTATATCGTTTCTATGCGACATTTATCTTCAACACATTCTACCCAAATGAAAGTGGTATGTGTCTAGTGAACTAATTTCTTTCTATCCTATAATACATACATATGTCACAGGCAAAATTACACTTAGACAGAATATGTTTCCTGCTTTTTTTTCATAGAGAGAGCATTCATTTTGTGATTCATTCATACTGTAATGCATGCATCCGTGATCTCTATGTACAGATCAGAAAATGATTTCGAAAGTATCTTTGTAAACAAGCGACGTAACATTTGTAAGTTTTAGAATATTAAGATTCCAATATAAAGAAGCTATTATTCTACTATACGGAACACATAAATTAAATTATCCTTTATTTGCAGGGGTTGCAACACCATATACTCAAAAATCAAGAAAAGTGAAATTCATTTTGACACTACTTTTCAGGATCAAATTTACATAAACGTGTAGGGAGCAACTACGATTAATTAGAATTAAAGCGTAGAAATGCTGTGATTATATATACCCACTACCTGTGTAGATGGTGGAGGAGACCGCGATGTTTGCGCGGATCGTCCATGCCATAATGTCAAATATGCTCCACAACGTTGTAAAGCTCAGAGAAAGTATTTAATCGTTGATATACTCAATATTTATAAGATAGTTTTAGTTTCATTACTTCATTTTTGTACTCAATTGTTAAATTTATGAATAAAATTTTAACCAAAATTGATTAAAAGGTATCTTGATAACAAATGGTCCTAACTTCAAACTTACGAGGGAACCGTTCCAAGTGATTCACGCCGATTTTGCTTATATTTTGCCCATATGTAGGGGTGAGTATGCTAAGAAAAAGGCTAAGAGGATTTGGGGGGATGTTGATTCTTTGGAAGGTTATGGAGATTTTAGTGATTTTTT